CCTTCCTTCTCCTAATGTCCTCCATGCTATTCCTTATGTGCCACAAATAAGTGAAACCATATGATAATTGACTTTCTCGGCTTGACTTATTTCACTTCGCATAATCTCCTCCAGTCCCATCCATGTTGATGTAAAAGTTGGGTATTCATCCTTTCTGATGGCTGAGTAATATTCCATTGTATATATGGACCACATCTTCTTTATCCATTCATCTGTTGAAGGGCATCTCGGCTCCTTCCACAGCTTGGCTATTGCGGACATTGCTGCTATGAACACTGGGGTGCATATGGCCCTTCTTTTCACTACATCTGTGTCTTTGGAGTAAATACCCAGTAGTGCAAATGCTGGGTCATAGGGTAGCTCTATTTTTTAATTTTTTGGAGGCACCTCCACACTGTTTTCCGAAGTGGCTGTACCAACTCGCATTCCCATCAACAGTGTAAGAGGGTTCCCCTTTCTCCACAGCCTCTCCAACATTTGTTGTTTCCTGCCTTGTCAATTTTTGCCATTCTAACTGGTGTAAGGTGGTATCTTGATGTGGTTTTGATTTAAATTTTCCTGATGGCTAATGATAAAAAGCTTCTGCACAGCAAAGGAAACAGTCAACAAAACAAAGAGGCAACTCACAGAATGGGAGAAGATATTTGCAAATGTCACTACAGACAAAGGGCTGGCATCCAAGATCTATAAAGAACTTCTCAGACTCAACACCCAAAAAACAAATAATCAAGTCAAAAAATGGGCAGAAGACATGAACAGACACTTCTCCGAAGAAGACATACAAATGGCTAACAGACACATTAAATAACCTTTTCAAAACAGAATAGCTTTCTCTTTTGAAAATTGATAGGCAATCTTTTAAAAGTTGAATTTCTTATATTTGGATTTTAGAAGTACTGTACCTGAGAATGTGCCAAAGAAGCAGCAAAGGTACTGAAGATGGACAAGTCAACGTGAAGTTTCATATTTAAAGAGTCTCAAATACAAAGACCTGAGCTTAATTATCAGAATATTACCTGAACTTGAGAATTTCCTCATAAAATTGTTTCAACAATCCTTTCAATTTACAATATTTAAGATATGCCCTGCTATTATGTTAACTAACTTACTATTTCAAAGGTTGAAGAAAATTTAAGGACAATAACCTAAAAGCAGATCTAGAAAAATATTAATATGAAATTTTAAAAAAATTATTACTATTTACCACACATTGTCTTCAACCCTTTACATGTTTTAATTGTTCCTTAAAACCTCTGACTAGAAGAGTTACCATATTATCCCTCCTTTACAGAATAAGGAAACTGAGGCACAAAGAGCCACCAATTTCCTCAAGATCAAAGAGCTCGTAAGTGGCAGATCTAGAACACAATCCCAGGCTCGAGAATTCCACTATAATTCTACTGTTGCTATAAATAGTTTCATCTGGGGCGCCTGGGTGGCTCTGTTGGTTGGGTGTCTGCCTTCGGCTCGATCATGGTCCCGGGGTCCTGGGATCGAGCCCCACATCGGGCTCCCTGATTGGCGGGGGGCTTGCTTCTCCCTCTCCCTCTGCCTGCCACTCCCCCTGCTTATACTCTCTCTCTTCCTCTGTTAAAAAAATAAATAAAATCTTTAAAGATAAATAAATAAATAATAAATAGCTTCATCTTCCTGAATGTTTTACTATCTTATCTGTTAATAAAAAGGGGAAAAGTATGTTTTCTCATTCAAAAGAATTTTACCCTTGTAAGTTTAAAAAAATTTTTTACTCATTTTTTAAAACATGAAATTGGTGTAAGGCACAATGATATCAATACAAAATACAAAAATTGACAGTGGTCTGATAACGATAGCTCTTTTAGTGAATGGTTGCTCTGTACTATGCTCTGTACTAATTAATTTACCAAATGAATCTGTTAACTCCTCAAAGCCCAAGGGGCTAGTTTTATTATTCATTTTACAGATGAGGAAAGTGAGACCAAGTAACTTGCCTGAAGTCAGACATTCAGGAGTCTGCTCAACCACGGCTTAGTTTGAAGTCTGTCTCACTGGAAAGTGAAAACTCTAATCCATTTCCTACCAGTAGTTAACTTTTCTCCACGGATGCCACAATTTCATAGGCTGCATTTGTAGGGCTTCATCCTTCAAACTCTTCCTCCTCTCATTTACTAATCTCTAAACAGCTAGGAGCAGTAGAGTCAGGAAGTTAGTCTCTGCTCACCTCTGGCCTCCACTTTCTCACTTCTACATTCACTAACACAGAGAAAAAGCAACAACAGCAACAAAACAAATAAACAGGAAAAGCCTGAAAACTAGAAGACTTCAAGTCCTGTGGCTTTTGGCAAAGCATTTAACATCTTTGGGTTCAATTTCTGGTAGAATATAGGGATACAGCTAACTGCATACAAACTCAAGAAAATTTTCAATTGCTTTGCAAAGTATCCTTAAGAAAATCAGAATTATCAAGAGAACTGTCACCCCCGCCTGAGCAGGAATCATAATACAAAATCATCATTATATGTAGGATGCTCCACTCTTGAAACTGGAAAGATATCACCAAAAGGTATACTCTTAAATATTATAAAAAATGACTCAATACAGTGCTTAGAAAAAAATACATAGAAAAAATATCTTGTATTCAGAGCATCAAGGAAAGACAGATACGAAGAATATCTCCAACATCTTACCTCCAACTGAACACCTTCGGGCTATTTCCCAATAAACCAGACCAACAGAATAGATGTCAGCTCGTTTGAAGGACTCAAAGATATTCACATTCATTGTATCATCAAGCATTTCAGGAGCCATATACCTTCAAAAACATGCACATTTCAGATCTTCTGTATGACTTTACAGCAACCCAGTAAAATACAATCCGAAAAATTCCTCACACAAAATATAAATTAATAGCTTACATCAGTTTTAAAAGTAGATCTAAGCCACTATAATAAATGAAATTTAAGTAATACAGGTATTGACAGAAATATAAGTTTAAAAGTGTTTGAAATAAAACTAGAAGTCATCCTACTCAGTGTGTCAAAGCACAGGTGCCAGGAGCCAAATACTTGCAAAGGACAAGCTGGAGGGAAATTCAGTAAGTAAAGCATTCAATAGGAGAGACGGAACTCAACCTCTACCAACAAACGTTGCCATGGAAAGTTCCCTGAGGGCAAAGAGCATCTCTTATTCATCATGGTGGGCCCAGGACTCTAACACAGTGCTCAGCAGGATTCCATAAACACCTTCTCTGAATGAACAATTTTATTATACAGTGGCTTCCAGGCATATATACACATTATATATTGGCTACAAGAAAATGACAGCCTTGTTTGAATAAGACTAAACCAAAGAAATCTACAGTCCATGGGACCTGAGGGAGCCTAGCTGTCTTAAGGGGATTTTGACAATTTCCCAGAATATTAAGAGGAGGATGCAATACCTCCCAAACTCTTAAAAGTTTTAGATCCTCTGAAGGAGTCCAGCATCCAAGGCTTCCCTGAGGGATCCCTGATGTGGAGACAGTCTGATAGGCAAGCCAAGGCTTACTTTTTATAGGGAAAAGAAGTTCCGTAGGGCCGCCCAGTTTGAATAAACTGCCCTGAAATGTCCCTGGGGCCTCATTAAATTCTCTTAGGGAACCATGGGAAGGACTCAGATGGATAGGCTTAGAATCTCAAACATGGTTTGGAGGTCAACTGTACCAGAAATCTCCTACTCTGAAGAGCCTTTGACAACTCCAGGAAAAAGTTTTGGTTGTTTTATGACTTCAAGATCAAGAACCCAGGAATTATGTCAAAGTAGCATGACCCTGATATTCAAATAAAAGGAAATGGAAGTATGTGGGCCATATGGCCACAGGCTGGCCAGAACAAGAAACCACCAGAAATCCCATTACCTGATGGGTCTGTCGTAATATATATGTAGTGTGTTCTGCTTCTCTCATGCTTGTTTTGATGACATTTTTCCCCTCCTATCCATAGGAAAATGTATTCTCAGAAACTGACCCACTCAAAATAATGTATCACCATCTCTTCCACCATCCCCCTCTACTGCATTCCCCACCCAAATGGCTACTATCTATATGACTAAATGGCCAAGTGTCCTTGCTTTATAACCATTGTGTCACTGACTTCTCAATGACCCAGAGGAGACTCCTTGCTTTCTTGGGCCTAATGATTTTTCATTTGGACCCCCACCCCAACCCTCACCCCCAAAAAACCCACAAACTCATCCCAGGATTTCATGTTTACAGGGCAGCCATATGTCCGAGCGCACCACCAAAGTTAGTGATCTTACCTTTTGGTTCCCACTTTAGGATTCTGAGGTATGTCAATCGTGTTCAGTACTGAATCATGCTTCACAGCCAGCCCCAAATCTGCTATGGCACAAGTTTCACATTTTTTCACTAAGATATTCTTTGATTTTATATCTCGATGAGCAATAGCAGGTTTACCTATGGAGCATAAGAGAAGAATACTCATTTTTTTGTTGTTGTTACTGAAAACTGACTCTCTCTAAAAGGAATTACTTTGAAGACCTGGCTCAAAAGTCACCTCTGAAGACAGGTCTTCTCTGACCACACATTCCACATCCCCTGTCAGTCTCCACAGAGTATGTCATTTTGCCTTCTTCATAACCTTTATTACTATCTAAATTATATTATTCATTTACCTGTGTGTTTAATTATCTGTCTCTCCCAACTGGACTGTAAGCTGCCTCAGGGCAATGCCTGGGTGTTACTCATCACTCACTGGCATGACTTTGATGCTTAGAACACTAGGTAGCACTTAGTCGCCACTAATAAATTTCCTTGGCATGAACAGGGAAAGAATTAGCATTGCTACAACTACATAAGAACATAGTCAATAAACTCTTACAAAACAAGTTTCAAACTTTTACTACCCTAGACCAGCAGTTCTCAAATGTGACCCCAAAATCCTTGGGAGTCTTTGAGACTCTTTTCCAAATACCTATCTGTGGGATATTACATTTTCTTCATATACTTCAACCAAAACATAAAGGAACAACTGAATGAAGAACATGCTTGAAAATCCAGACATTAAGTCAGACATTCAAGAGATTTCAAAAATGTAAAACAAAACCATATTTTCACTAGATTGTTTTCTGTATTATAAAAAAGATGCAAATTTTTGAAACTTATTTAATAATTAGGTATTATTAAGTAAATTAATAAATACTTTTTTAATTTTTCAATGTTAGTTTCTAATAGAGTAAATATTAATAGATAGAACCCAAATACAGAAAAACCTTTGGGGTCCTCAATAATTTTTAAGAGTTTAAGCTATCATAAATCCAAATGTGAGGACCACTGCCCTGACTGGACTAATGACTTTCTAGAGCAAATTCTTTATTAATTCAATAAATAGAAAAGACAGTGGGTATTATTTGATCTTTGAGTCCATTATATGCAAATATTTTTTAAGATCACATTACCATCTCCAATTATTCTAGCTATCAAAGGCAAATATTTAAATTATTTATATTCTCCGAATATAGAGCATTTGCCACCAAAGCAAGATCTCCCAGGGATGTGTGCTAAATGGCAAAGTTGGAGCCACCAGGTGTAAAAATATTATTATGGCTAATATACAAAATGATGAGTACGTAGATGAGAGTTGGCTGTATCCTGATAATATCCTCAGCTTTTTAAAGTAACTTAGTATTTCTTTACATTTGATAGTCGTTTGTAATAAACTAAAATACAACTAAACACTAAAACACAGCTTGGTGTCTCTATTCTCATATTTAAGCAGAAAAAACTTAGAAAGAAAACACGTACCTTGTGTACCAACAATCTCCATATGTAGGTGGGCCAGACCACTAGCTATCGAAAGGGCCAATTTGATCATGCCAGCCACGGTCACTATATTTCTATTCAAATAGTCATATAAGGAACCCAGTTCATGATATTCAGAGACAAGCCAAAGTTGAGTCCAAGTTCCATTATCTAAATGGGAAAAAGTCACTTTATTGCTATAAATATATGTTGAGAATGAAACCAAAAGCTTTTAGCAAATGTCAGTATTTAAAGTAAATCTGTATTGTTCACAAAGCAAAGCTAATTCCTTTAGTGAGGATGCTGACAGTCCAAATTAGCAAAGTAAAATATCTCACTGAATCCCTGAAGATACTGATATACTAGAACCTGTTGTATGTATCCACTAGAGCTACAGGAAGCTATGAGAGCAATTCTGATTAAGTGAACAACTCCTTTCTCATTCTCTTTATATACTGATGGTACCATATTACAGAAGAAACTACTGACAGATGAATTTAGGCTCAGTGTTGTGCTGTAAATTACTCTGAGCTTTTAAGAACGATTGTTCCAGTCCACACCAGAAATGCAACAAATTTACACAAAGTGTTATTACTGTAATAAAAGCTCTAAAATTCTAAGAATGTTCACGTTGTTCACCTTTCAAAATAAGAAGTTGATGATTTTCCCCAAAAGTTTACCTTAAGAGCCAAATACAGTTACTAGACATTTTCAAGTAATTTACTTCACTCAGCCAAACGCTAATCCAGCTTATAAAATATTTTTAGCAGAACAGAAATTAGCTTAAAACTTCTCCAGGTATTAGAGTCCCTGGAGTTAGCTTCAGCTTTTGCACAAGTGTCTACAACAGCCCGGGCAGTCCTGACCAGTTCTGATGCTCAGAGAAAGGAAGCCATAATGAACATTTGCTAGGGACTTTTTCTATTAAATGCTTTATGTACAAGAGCTACTCTTAATCCAAATATTTAATTTCCAAATCCGGGTAGTGATAAAATTTCCTATGAATACAAAAATCAACATAATGTGATAAAGTTCAGTAATAAACTGACCATGTACAAAACTAATCCTTATTCTACCTCTCTCCCTGCTCAGTGCCAGTGACTATCTTGCCCTCTCATATCAACGTCTCTGTCAGACCGTTGACTAACCAGTGGAACTATAAATACCACAAAAGATTTAGAAATGAGGATGAAAGCAATGTTGGAGGTCATTGGAAGTCATGCACAAAGCCACTGATAAGTAAGCCAGTGACAAAGGTAGACCAGTTAAACTGAAGAAGAGACAATCCAGGATGATCTCCCTTGGGCCTATTGTTTTATAATCAAATAAACATAATGATTAAATTAGTCCCATCAAGATGATCCATATAACTAAAGTCATTACTGCTTTGACAACAATGTTAATCAATCTAATCAGTAGGTACACTTCAGCTCAATCTTAGGAAGGAAAAGAAAAAGGTCTTAGCTTACTAAGAAATGTCTCATTTTCAATAGTCTGGATATATTTTCAAAGTATACAGAGGTAAGAATTTGGAAAGAACCTTTCTTGTTTAAAGCTCATGTTGGCTTTACTCAGTTTATACCTGGCAAATCAGAAAACACATACTGTCTGCAAACATAATTAAGGCCAAAATGTACAGTAATTCTAAGCCTCTCTTTTGTCATCTAATTAGTAATAATCAAGCTTATAACAGATAAAAATAATCATAGATTTTAATTTCCATAGGTAATGGTGGGTCCTGATATCCACAGGTAACTTGTTTTTTAGATAGAGGTTACAATCTCTACCTCACCGAAGTTCTTCATGAGTATTACTGATTTGAGTTCAAAAAAAAATTGACTGGGTCATGTTTTGCTCATCTTTGTGCCCTGTTGCCCTTTGTTATGGGAACTAATGCACAGTTAAATAAAAGCTATGCAAAAAGAAGAAGGAAAGCATAGGCAATCCACAAATTATATCCAGTCCCTGATTACTTGGGGATTTATACCGTATTTTATGAATATTGATTTCAATACCTAAATTGATGCTCTATCTTCCTCCACAAATCTCAAAAAGTCATATACTGTTTGAGGTTGTTGATGTTAAACCTCAATATAATTCATACTCAAAGTACATTGATAGAAAATTTCACTAAAATTGATTTGCTTGCTGCCATTCTGACAATGTTCATAGAGAATCTGAGTCCTGGAGTTGAAGACTATTTATACAGAGGAGAAGTACAGTCCTGGCAAAGGTGAATATTCAACTAGCATTCACTGTTACATCTGTACCGGTTATTAAAATACTGAAATATTTCTGTCCCCATTGGCCAGCAGTTGCTACTCAAAATTCCAATGTCATCCCTTTGCCCTAGACACCCAAAGCAACCTCCCCCACCTCCCACCACCCTCTGACAAGATGCCTCCCAATCTCTTCAGGAACCAGCAAGTAAGGGATAAAAGCTAGACTGGCAGGGCTCTCCAGGACTCTGTTCCAACTGAAGTTTCTGTTCTGATTGGTTGATTCCTATGCCATACCAGTCACCAAATACTTTAAATATCAACCTGGCTATGGTGTCATGATTTCATATCACTCGTTTGCCCTGCCTTTACTGTACGGTTCTGTACATTTATCTGTGGAGAAGAGGAAAAGCATTTTCTATCCTCAATAAAGATATTAGACTTTTATGTATTTTATTAAAACAAAGAAATTATTGATGGTGATCTGATGATGGACATAACATGTTTACTTGCTGAACCCAATTAGAAAATACCTTTGTTGTCAGCAGCAATGAAACCAAGTATGTTTTCATGTCTCAGCATGACCGTCTGATAAATTTCTGCCTCCCGAAACCAAGATCTTTCATCTCTGGAGGAGAAGATTTTTACAGCCACATCTTCCCCACACCATCTTCCATGCCAGACCTCACCAAATCTACCTTTTCCCACTATCTCCTGAAGTACGATCGTCCTTGCAATTGTTCTTTGAACCAACAGAGGTAGACCTAACCAAAGAAAAGACGGAATTGATGATTACAAACAAGGAAGTGTCAGAAAAAAAACTGTCATGATGACCATTATTTTCACATAAAAACTGCAAACATTGAAGTGCTTTCATAGTTTTACCGATTTTGAAGAAATAAGCACCATTGTACCAAACATGTCAAACCATGCTCAAAAAACACCACTCAGAATTCTTAATATGAATTTCTCTTCTCACATTCCCAAATAAAAATTTCTTGAACATAACCTGCTGCTACAGATATCTGATTTTCCAGAATTGCTGCAAATCTCCCTCATTTGCCCATGAAAACCAGTCAGGTTACTAAACACACAAAGGTTAAAAATAAAAAAAGGTGCCATCAGTCTCTAAAATAAAATGCATTGTTTCTAGTACAACTGGGGAAACAGAAGGATTCCTTGTGAATTTTTTCAAAAAGCAAATTAAAATCGCAAAGTGAAGAATCAGATTCAATAATTAAGTGAGGTAATCATGTTACACTAAAAATTAAAGCAAAGCATCATCATAGAAAATATCAAATGGAAATTCTTTGTGAAATAAAAAAAATCAAAGAAAATATATTCTGAGTGTATGTAAAAAGTTTAGATTCTTTGAACCAATAACCCCACTTCTAGAATTCTATCCTAAAGATTTAATGCAAAACGCAGAAACATTTATGCCAAAATATTTAAGACATTATTACTTATAGGAAATAGAAGGGAAAGTATCAGATAATAGAAAAATTGTTAAACATAGTGCAGCGATTAAGAGAACAGATAAGAAAGACCTCAGTTCAAATTCCAGCTGTGCCACCTGGTAACCATGGGCAAGTAATGGAACTTCTCTGGGCTTCAGCTTATCTAAAAAATAGGGGATATTAACAGTACCTATCTCATAGGGGTAATACAAGAATGAATAAGCATGTTAAGCACCTGGCACAGTATCTGGTATATTTCATGCTCAATAATGGTTAGCCCTTAATATTCTATCTTAGAACAGATTACTTAGAGCAAATGATAATGATGCTGCTTATGAGGAGGTAGTTCTTAATGACATGGGAAAGTACTTTTGCTATAATGTTAAATGAAAATAGCACAGTAAATTCTACCCACCTAAATAAGTGTACCTAGCTATCCAAAATATGCACAGGAAAAAGACAGAAAAGGAAATTTGCCAAATGCTATGACGGTTCTTCCTAATTAGAGGAAAATAGGTAAAGAGGTTACAGTCTAAGTTCACTCTGGAAAGTCGTGTTTAGTTCTTATCCTTGTACTCAGATGGCCCGGAAACTCTCACTGCTACAGCCCCGTAAGCTCTGCAGACTTCAGCCTCTGCTCCTGAAATGAGCCATGGTTTATTCAGATGTGCTCATCTTCATGAGAACCACCCACTGTGGCTAAATAAGCACAGACTATAAGGTTGCTATTATGGATCTCAACAATTAGTCATAGAGCCCCACAGCCAGAAAGTTCTGAGATGGTCTAGTTCAACTTTATCATTTTAGAGATGAGAAAATTGGGGCCCTGCAGTAATCGAAGACTTGCCCAGAAATAGGCTGTAGTGGGAGGCCAACCTACAACTAAAATGTTGGTGTTCAGTCCAAACTCATGCTCTCACCATTCAGTGGATATGTCTGCAGTCCTCTCCTGTTGGGAAGACTTCCAGCAGCAAACTCTAAGGGCTGTTTCTTGTAGGCTATTGCCAAGTTTACTACTTGACCACACAATAAAAGTTGTCCTAACAATCATCAGGCCAAATTGCAATCTCAATCTCTCTCTTCCCTTCCCCCCTCTTGCACACACACACACCCACCAAAACATCACCATCAACAACTGCTACCAACAACAACTGATTAGAGGACTCCGATTAGCCTCTGTTTTCAAACTGCTAATTGATCAAGCTCATGACCAATGCCACAGACCATGGACAGAGTAAGACAACATCATCAAAGGTACTCAGCATAGCAATTCAAGCTGAGACACTAAAACTCCGGGAAAGGTCCTTTGGTATCTTTCAAGGCAACCACTCCAAATAATCTAGCTCTTGTTTATACACTTAAGAGATTTCATTTGAAGATACATAGACTTTGCTTCTCCCTGTAGGCTCATTTTACTTTTTTCTTTCTTTCTTTCTTTCTTTCTTTCTTTTTCTTTCTTTTTCTTTCTTTCTTTCTTCCTTTCTTTCTTTCTTTCTTTCTTTCTTTCTTTCTTTCTTTCTTTCTT